ATATATATATGAAAGTATGGAGATTATAAAACATATATGAACACTACTTTAATTGCATGATCAAACGTCGTGTGTCATTGTGTGTTGAATGGTGAGATGTGTATTTACTTTTGTGACTTCACTGTCGAAATAATAGATCCCATTCAAGCACTTCTGTTATTGTTAACGTGTTATACTGTAAAATGGTGAGATGTATTTGCTACTATGAATGAAAGCTATATTACAGGTCATCAATAATTCTTTTCTTGTTGACGATAATATTGCAAAATTGCAAATTAAATAAATCATGAGCAATAAAATAAAACTGAACAAACATTGACCAGTTGGAAAGAATGATTTGCTAAATATTTGGGAATATTCTGATGAATGTATGTCGTTTTACACGCATGAAAATGAGGCTGTAATTGATAGACATGCGGTTTTTACAACTGAACGCACTGCATAGATTTACTACATTACATATCTCTCAAAATGGGCGAGGCAGTGCTGTCGCCTCAAAGCAAGAAGGTCGCTGGTTCAAACCTCGGCTCAGTTGGCGTTTCTGTGTGGAGTTTGCATGTTCTCCCTGCCTTCGCGTGGGTTTCCTCCGGGTGCTCCGGTTTCCCTCACAGTCCAAAGACATGCGGTACAGGTGAATTGGGTAGGCTAAATTATCCGTAGTGTATGAGTGTGTGTTTGGATGTTTCCCAGAGATGGGTTGCGGCTGGAAGGGCATCCGCTGTGTAAAAACCTGCTAGATAAGTTGGCGGTTCATTCCGCTGTGGTGACCCCGGATTAATAAAGGGTCTAAGCCGACAAGAAAATGAATGAATGAATATCTCTCAAAATTACAACAGTCTTAACCGTTTTTTTACACACAGATACACAAACACTGCATGTCCAAAAAAGTCACCACTTGGATTTAACTAAGGAAGCTGACTACCTGAATAAACTGAATGACCAAGTTATTCCATCAGGTGATTCTTTCATCTTCATTGGGTTCAAATTGTGAAAAGAGCATACAACAACATTTTCACAGGCCACCAAAGAGTCCAGACCATTGATACAACACGCCATTTGACTTGTTAGTTCGTTTGTTTCTTCTTATCCTGTGGTTCACATAATCATGGATCCGGCCCGCATCCAGAACAGAAGGCCGTCATGGTCACTGATGACTCAAAAGCACAATACTGATTCCTACAAAGACCCCAGCGACAGATGAATCTCTGCATTGATCCTGTCAGCTAGTCTGAACACCTGCCTGGAGATGATGGATGCTCATTGCTCTCAAGCCCTGTGATGTCCAGACTGCAGCTCTGCCCTTTATATTTGCCCTTTATGCCACCTCGGTTTAGTCTGATTTCTCCAAAGGTTTGTTCTCTGACAACTCTCCTGCCTGCCTGCCCTGCTGAAAGCCAGCTTAAACCAGCTTAGGCTGGTTGGCTGGTTTTAACTGGTTAACCAGCCTGGTTTTAGAGGGGTTTTGGCCATTTCCAGGCTGGTTTCCAGTAATTTCCAGCCTGGTCTTAGCTGGTCAGGCTGGAAAATGACCAGCTAAAACCAGCTTGACCAGCCTGGTTTAAGTTGGAGATAGCTGGTTTTGGCTGGTCTTCCAGCTGGTTTTAGCTGGTCATCTCCCAGCCTGACCAGCTAAGACCATGCTGGAAATGGCTGGAAACCAGCCTGGAAGTGGCCAAAACCCCTCTAAAACCAGCCTTGTCGACCAGCTAAAAGCAGCCAACCAGCCTAGGCTGGTTTAAGCTGGTTTTTTCATCAGGGTGACTTGCTGGGATATTCCACAATCTGAAATATGGCTTTTAATTCTCTTCTCTTCACCTATGTAAGCTGCTTTGGCACAATCTACATTGTTAAAAGCGCAACGAAAATAAAGATGAATGACGTGCAGCCTGGCACACAGAACACTGTTAGCTTTAGAGAGATGATGTCAGCTTACAAGTTTGTAAAGGAGCATTTCTCCAGATGAAGGACTTTTGAGGGGCAGAAATGCTCTCTTCACCTGGGAATATCTATATTTTCCTGGATTGCTACAACACTGATGGCACTGAGCCCTGGGGTGGATCACGATTCGCATACTCAGATCTTTCTGCTGCAGCTCTGCTGAGGACACGGCGCAGGTAACGGCAGAGGAGATCTGCAAAGGAGAGTCACGATCTGAACAGTACAGGCTGTGCAGGCATAAATCATCCGCAAACACTGCCTCGATGTGCTCCAAGCTCCAATTAGAAAGGGAGCAAATGATAGTGGCTGTTTTAAGCGCACAGGAAACCACCATATCCAGAAACACACAGACAGAAAGGCAGAGTAAAACAACTACGTGAATATGTGATATAAAAGGTAGAGCCCTGCATTTGAGGCAGAGTTCGACGGGGCCCGACTTTTTTTTCCCCTCGGGCCAGGCTTCGGGCCAATTTTCTTGTCATAGTTAGTATTTATATTCGGCATCAGGCCTGCATAAGAAAAAACTTTGATTGTGTGCGGTCCGAAAGCGCCAGTGATGCCTTGCGTACAGGGCCGGAGCAAGCTGAACTGCCGCTCTAGGCAGAGAACGATCACGCCACCCTCAACCCCAATGTGAAAACGAAAGTGATTATGAAAATGAAGTGAGGTGTCGCGGACCTCTTTGCCGGCACTTTATGCGCGGATATAACTGAGGACGCGCGGGTGCTGAGGGAGGGAGGTGTCGCGGACACTGCGCTCTTTATTCTGCCGCCCTATGCGCGGATATAACTGAGGACACGTAGGTGCTGATGGAGGTGTTGCTGACGCTGCCCTCTCTATTCTGTCGTCTATGCGCGAATATATCTGAGGATGCGGGTGGTGAGGGAGGTGTCGCGGACATAACTGAGGACGCGGGTGGTAAGGGAGGTGTCGCGGATGCCGCCTTCTCTATACTGCCGACCTAGGCGGCCGCCTCTATGGACGCGCCGGCCCTGCTTGCGTATAGATTTCCAGTCACGTACAATAGAGAACATAAAGAGAAAAATTGCCAATGGCTAACTTAAAACTGTGAAAAACGCTAGAGGAAGCGCAAACTTCTTAAATTGTGACAACTTTAAACAATGAGCCAACTGGTTATGCACAATGCACAACTTGTAAGTCCACAGGCGCCTGCAGGATTTCATTATAATTTTGGACAAATCCAGCACCGCTCCACCTCATCATCCTTTATTCTTATTTCAATCTCAAGAAACGCGGATGTTTGCTGTCAAAGGCTACATGATTTAAGAGCATTCGTTATGGCATTATTCAATTCCTTTTTAATATTGAGCACATCAGCACCAAAGAAAAATCTGATGTTCAAGGCGTAATCTTTAAAATTATGACATATTAAAAAAATTGCAAATATATGATAGAGAACTTGTGGTAGTGAAGCATT